TCCATGCTTGAATGGCTAAGGCTGAACACTGAACAAACAGTCTAGCATCGGCCTGAGCTTGAGCTTGAACTGTAGCATAGGCGCCACTGCCTTGTACCATTTCGATAGTAATTGGTATTTCATGATCTCACTTTTGTGAGGATTCTTGAATAGCTAAGTCATTATATTCCATAAGCCATGGCGTATATTCTGCTGATTAAACTAGGACACAAACTAATGTTTTCCAGTCAAAAGGAGTCATTTCATAACTGTTTCCCAATGCCTCAACCACGCTGGTGGTAGATGGAGAGTGAGGTCTATTTTCTGGGATACTCTTTTTTAGTTCCTTAAACACAGTAAAAGGGAGAGTTTCATGTTGTCTCCTATCATTTCTCACCACAACAGGGAATGTGGCCATGAAGGCATCAGATCTCCTGATTTTTAACCCTTCTATTAGACAACCCTCAATCAAGGAGGGTCGTGACCCTGAATTAGTTTCTGAAAAAAAGCTTTAGGCGGTGGCAGAGTCCAAGGAGGCGGTTCATGGTAAGTTCCTCCTGACAATGGCACAGGAGGTGGAGGAGGAGGGTGAGCCACAGGGGCAGATGGCTGTGCTTCATCCTGCTCTTTTAATGGTGGTGGAAATGGCAATTCCTTCACATCTGACTCACCAGAATCCAAAGACATTAGAGACTCAGGTTTATCAATATGCTGCCCTGCTTCTTCATGAGGCATCCCTCCACTTTTGTGGAGAGGGGTGATCTGGATCATTGTGATCTGTCATATGTAATCGATAAAGAGCACCACGTACTAAGCTCCGGGTTGTCAGCAGAGTAATGTTAGTCATAAGATCCTGTTCAGACCGTCTCTTTAAAACTCGTCCTACCTGTTCCCAGAGCTCAAGATCAAGAGTGCCGACATCTGGAAACCAAGGACAGTGTTCACAAATCGAAAGTAATAGTTGTTGTAATGCCTTCGGTTCCATTGTACATTGAATTGCTTTTAGTAATTGTTGTAAAGTCTTAAAGTACAATTTCTGTTCTTTAGTGACTTCCTGACACATGACTCAAAATTAAATGATGAAATCCCCCTCTAGTATTACACACATAGGTCCCATCCTCTTATAGAGTGGGACTGTCCCTTACTGGGATTCTCCATTAGTCCGTGGAAACTTCTCCACGTGTGAATTGGCCAAATCACGTCATGGTCACCAATTGTAGAGATGGTCCAGCATCTCTACGAGTGTCACAGCGCAATGAAGAACGCTCCAAACCACAATCCCAGGCTGAAGGAGGAGGAGAGACTCTTTTCCTTTCAAAGAGCTCCTGAACCTCTCCAAATTTCCGTATTTATTGTAAGGAAAGGCATACAGCAAAGAGCATACAGGTAAAATCTTTGGTGTCATATGGCAAGCACGTGTACTAAACACGTGTACTAAACAAATCTATTTAGTGATACACATTAAACATAATTATCTTGTGATTTCCTTGTTGTTTCTTAAGGCTATCAAGGAAAGGGCAGGGACCTAACATCAGCCACACTCCCATGCATTCCAAAGCCTACTGTATGAAGCTGGCAGATAACAATCATACCCCAAATCCTGTTTGCGGGACTGCCAGATTTCCACCTTTGTCACAGTCCCTTTACCCGGGCCTTTATGCCCTTTCTAATATCCTCTACAGGAGCCAGGCATCACAGTATTTTAATGGTCCCCAGGTGGTTCCACTGTGCAGCAAAGTTTAGAACAGATGGTTCTCTGTGGGTTTGCACAGAGGGCCTGTCTTGTGGTACGGGGGTGGCATCCCTTCAACAGCGCCTTCTTGGAGAGAGTTTCTGGTGGGCAGAAGCGCTTCCCAGCACGAGGTGCAGGTGTGGCTCAGCAGAAGCACATCTGTGACAGGGTGGAGAGTTCGGGCAGGGTGGCTCTCTAGCGAACTGGCTTGAATAGAATTTAAAGATTCTAGAGTAGTGGTTTTCAAACTGGGTTCTGAGAAGGCCTAGGGACCTGGGAGGAGGAGGAGGAGCTAAGGTCAACCCAGAAGGCAGGGGCTACCCCTGACCTTCAACTGGGCCTGCTCCAATTGAACTATTTCATATTTTGGGCTTTCAGGAAGAATAGTGTTTGGATAAAACCTTCTTATTCTTAAGAGGGGAGGAGAGAGAGGAAGGGAGGGAGGGAGGAGAGAAGAGGGACAAGGGGGGATGGGGAGGGGAGGAGGGACAGTGGTGGGGGCAGAGAGGGAGAGAGAATGAGAATCATTGATAGAGCAGGGGTTGGCAGGCTCTGGCTGGGGAGCTAAGAATAGTTTTCCATTTTTAAGTGGTTGGTAAAAAAATTTACGACTCATGAAAATTATATGAGATTCAAATTTCAGTGTTCATAAATAGAGTTTTACTGAAACACAGCCACGTCATTCATTTTTGTATAGTCTGTGGCTATTTTGCGGCACAGTTGAGTAGTCGGGATAAAGACCACATGGCCAGCAAAGCCTCAGATATTTACTATATGCTGCATCACAGAAAATATTTGTCTTCTGTGTTAAAGAATCAATAGAAGTCCCTGTTTTTTTGTTTTTTGTTTTTGTGCTTTGGTAATTAGTAATTGGTAATTGGTAATCACCTCACCATTTCCATCAGACAGAAAATTGAGAGAACATACATGTGTATCATATATACAAATATTATGTTAATATGTATGGTAATTTACTCATTTTTAGACCTGCTTTCTCAGTGTCCTGATTTATGCCTTCTTGCTTTGTGAGATAAATATATACCGTTTCCCCTCCCTATTAAATATACTTTATTTTTTAGAGCAGTGTTAGGTTTATAGCAAAATTAAGCAGAAGGTGCAGAGAGTTCCCATGTACCCCCTGCCCCTGCACACACAGCCTCCCCAACTATCAACATCCTCCACCAGAGTGGTGCATTTGCTACAACTGATGAGCCCACATTGACACATCGTTATCACCCAAAGTCAGTAGTTTACATTACAGTTCACTCTTGGGGTTGTCCATTCCATGGGTTTTGACAAATGCGTAAGAACATATATCCACCATTATGGTTATATACAGAATAGTTTTACTTCCCTAAAAATCCCGTGCGTTGCCTATTCATCCCTCCCTCCCCCGCCAACCCCTGGCAACTATTGATCTTTTACTATCTCCATAGATTTGCCTTTTCCAGAATGTCATAGAGTTGGAATTATACAGTATGTCATCTTCTCAGACTGGCTTCTTTCAATTAGTAGTATGCATTTAAAGTTCTTCTGTACCATTCTTTTGATATTTGATTAAACAAAATCCTGGGGCCAGGCAGGGATGGGTCCTACATACCAATTTCAAAGGGCTGTTAACAAGATGGAGAAAATTGTCTTTTCCTATCGGGGCTTTATGATGTCCCCGATAAGGATAAGGTCCCTGGGCAGAATACATTGCAAGAGATGAAAGAAACAAAGACACAGACACAGTCACAGGAATAATTTTAAGAGTGAGGGGAAATCAGGGGACCACCAGCACTCCGGTGCCAAGGTGGTGGTGACTGAAACCCAGCACTTGCTTTTTATTCTCTTTGCCACTCTGCAAAATGATCTCATGTGAAAAAATCATGGGATACAATAAACAAAAGTCTCAGGGCTCCCCCCAAATCACAAGGTGTCCTAGCTAATTGCCTTCTCCTTTCTAAAAGTGAAAAGACATAATTCTTCAGTAGGTACAACCTGTCCCAAGATAAACTAACTAATTTTATCCCAACCTCAAGCTATATACATAGATATCAATCTTTACTTTCAGTAGCCGCGACCCATTTGATCAAGGAACAAAGAAACTACATGCTTTTCATTGGGAGATTGGTTTTACATTGACTGAGGCATTGTTGAGAGAAACAGAGAGAAGGAGCTTGGCCAAGTGTTCTAACAATGGAAGCTTTGAGACCCTTCTTCCAGGCTGACATGTTGCAATCTACCTCTACAGCCATGAGAAGTTTTCATGTCAGGCCACTCCATGGCTTTTCAGGCATTAGACACCTTAGGCTCTGAGGTTGGAGCATGCTTTGCTGTACTCCCAGATTGCTGATATATGTCCCCCAACTAGGCAGTTAACATCTTCCCTTATTTTAGGCTTCTGCTCAGGCAATTCCTTCACCTCCTCTCCTCTCACAGCCTTGGACATAGCATCCCTAAATACCAGTGGTCTTAATCCCATCATTTTCCAGAAATACTTTGGGGGAGAATGTTGTGTAGGGGATTGTGTTGTAAGGCTTCCAAGAGTTCATGTCTGGAAGATGAGTCAATGAACTACAATCTGTGGAAGGAGAGTATAGTCAATTACAGCATGGGAGTTTTGCTTACCTTGCTGTAAATTTGGAACCAAAGTGAACTTTCCAGGGATCAAAACACCAGGAGTTCCATATAAGCAGTCTGCTTCTTTATTTTCCCACACAATACCAGACCTCTACTCTAAATAAATGGTGCCCCCAAAATTTCAAGACTATTGATTTTCAAAAGGTGCCAAATTATTATCGTACCTGGAGTGACCGTATGTCTTAGAATGGCTCAAGATAGATATTGTTATTAGCATGATATAAAAGGCGGACCACCAACTTTGGAAGATTGAATTCTTATTCCAATCCTTATCTTGACTATAACCACATGTTTTATGATCCTTTGGTTTTCTTTTTGCATAGTTGGTAATATATTGTTTATAACATCAAGTGAGGTCACTGAATAACATCTATGAACATCTTTGCATTGTTTAACAACTTGATCTACCAGAAGTGTGGTGTTACCAAGTGGCCATTTGATTCCACAAAGTCTTAATTTAGGGAGCCTGAGAGAGATTTAGAGCTGTTGCTGATTATACACCTCATAATTGAATAGAATTGTCACTTCTTTTCATCTCAACCAACTTTTATTGAGTGTCTACTATGGGCATGGCATAGCAGAGGGTGAAGGAGGCATGGTCTGCTCTTGGCACTTAGTTAATGGGAAACATGTTTCATTTGTTCCTCCTTTCCTTGTCCCATAGATCCAGTTAAATCCAGGAGTTGGTGTTAGGAATGGAGAACTTTCTTTCCTGAATGGCACCGTGGGAGCTGACATGCTTCTCCAGGACTTCAGGCAGACTCCTGTCTCTGCAAAGAGGACTCTAGAATCAAGGAGCCGGAGGAGCCGGGCCAGGAGGTTCCAGGTGCATTCTCTGGAGCTTCCTGGGCCCAGTGGGGGCCCAGTATCAGTCAGCTCTAGTAGCACTTTGTGGAAACGCCCTGGCTGGTCATTCGAGGCCAGCAGCCCACCCACAAGTGCCCAGCTGCATCTGCCTTCTCCCCACCTTGAACCTGGGGCCAGAATGAAGGTACTCAGCTGGGAAAGCAGCTTTCAGAAGCTTGAGGAAGAGACTAATGTTGACACTGGGTTCACTGCCATCAATTCTGAACCCGGGCAATCTTTTCTGAGCAGGTTTCCAAGGGATGTGCAGACCAGCCAGCCACCATCCTGCTTGCCAGCCTCTTCCTTAGGGGTGGCTACCTCCAAAACCAGCAGAGTCCTTCAGGAAAGAGTCTATCCTTTGTCGCTGGCTGGACAAAGGGTCACTGATACAAAAAAGATAACCTCAAAATGTTCCCTTCCTCTGCAACTCCAGGATAAAGAAAAAGAAGAAGAAGAAGAATTCTTTATATAGTGTAAAACAAATGTGGTTTTCTAAAACACAAGAGCAGATAGAATGTTCTAGAAATGGAACACTGACCCAGAATCAGCCTGTTTTTTGCTCTTCTGAGGAGGCCTGAATGCTGTGCTAGTGCTACCCATGCACAGATTTGTATTGTTTTTATTTCAAATGTTCAAAGTCTAAAGGTGCTGGGAGTGATTTGTTTATTTACCATCAAACTCATAAGAGAACACAGCCAATGCACAGGAACAAAGCCCAGTGCTTGTGTTCCCTGGAGGTGTACTAACCCAGCTGGAGGTGTTGAATTCAGCACCTATCAGGATAATTGCATTGTATGCAAATGAATTGGATGTGTTATGCAGTGCTGATTAGTGTATGTAATTTAGTTTTAATTTTTACTTGGGTTGCATAGCTCATTCCCCTGGACAGAATGGGGTATATTCATTCTTTAGTGCTTTTCAATTTTTATGTGACCTCCTTTGGTAACTAGGCACTGTTAATCACATACCCTCTCATGGTTTTGCCTTTAAAGTTGTTTGAATTTGGAATAAGTAAAAATGCAAAGTGTTTTGAAAATTAAAAACAATCTATTTTTTTCCTGTTTAATGAACCCACACACTGGAAACCAGAAAATCAGGTTAAAAATGAATGCTAAGCTCTAGAGTTTTCCTACTCCTCTTTTTCTTGTTTGTTTCTTCACTACTCCAAGAAGACAGTGGTTCTTGTTACAAATCAAGAAGGACCATAGGATGATTGGATGATTTGAGATCTCCACTGAGCATGGCAGGAAGATTGGACTGGTTGACCAGGTCACTGGAGCAGGACTTGGATTCTTCTGGCCATATTTGAATCCCCAAATTCCTTTGCAATACTCATTCATTCATTATGTATTCACTCAATAAATATTTATTGAACATCCATGTTTGAATAAGGCATTGTATATAAGGTATAGATATTGCCCATATGCTGAATTTTTGGGTTAGATCTATACAAACATTTTTAAAAATCTGAGATCTGTGTATTTCAGTTAATTTATAAAGTTATTTTACTCAATGAACCTCATTCTCCAGGAGAGATGTTACATAAGAATATAAATGCTAATTTAGCTGGATCTCTCTCTTTTTTTAAAAATTAATTTATTTTTTCAAGCTGGATCACTTGGAGACCTGCATACTTAGTACACCTAACTGGAGAGAAAGAAAGGTGAGTTCAAGCCAAGAGACAAATCTTGTGGAAGTGAAGGGACAGAAATGAAGAAGAATTGCAACTGAAAAAAGACAAGATTTCTAAATTGATTTCTTTTTTTTTGGTTCTTAAAACATCAATATATTGTCATTTCCATTTCCTCTCTCTTCCCTAGATTAAAATTTGGTGTTAGAAAATGGAGTAAAGAATATAATTTTGGTATGGCTTTTTATAATGAGTTAAAAAAATGAAAGTCTTATATAAATTGAACTGTTGAGCTGTCTTGAAAGGCACAGCAGGGAGAACTTTTGAAATTTCTACTCCACTTTTTTTTTACTGTTATCTAAATTTCCTTAACATAATACATGGGTAAGACTATAAGTGCATGAAAATTATAAAGAATACTGAGAAATTTGAATGAGTGCCTTTACAAAATTGACATGTAAAATAATATACTCTTAAAATGTCACCTACTCTCTCCTACTCAACATAGGAATTCAATTTACAACATGATGGGATGGAAATACCAGTGGACTGGGTGGGGGAGGCCCAGATTTTGGTTTCAGCTTTTAAATTTACTATTTATGAGACCTTGAACATGTCAAGCTCTTTGATCCTCTGTTGCCTTATCTACTCAACAAAAGGTCCTCAGGAGAATCAAGATTATGTATATGAAAGCATCTGAATATTATTAAGCACTATAAATGTGTGAGATATCTTATTATTGTATTATATTTTATATAATATGTATTATTCATATAATTGGTCCTTCAAACCCGTAGCTTACAAATATCATAAGAACAAAGAATTTTTGGTGAAACAATTTTAGTAAAATCAATGAGACAATTCAAAATCCACCTTTCTAACATTTTTATTATGTGTGCCATTTGTTTATATTTCTATAGCTAAGAGGAAAACTATGTGTAACCAATAGTCAAATAAATCCTAAAGTTCAATAAAGATTGTATGGGACAAGGAGAAACTATAAATTAGCTTAACCCAATTTATCAAGTTAATCAGACTTAATTATAATTATACTGTATTTCCTAAGCTGTATAATGTATCACTTTTTAAATACGAGTTTCTTGATGATCAAAACATTTTATTTAAATAAAAGCATACCTTGGAAATATTGTGGGTTTGGTCCCAGACTACTACAAAAAAAATGAATACCTCAATAAATAAAGTCACAGGAATTTTTTGGTTTCCCAGAGCATATAAAACTTATGTTTACACTATACTGAGCTCTATTAACTGTGCAATAGCATTATGTCTAAAAATATGTATGTGCCTTAATTAAAAATACTTTATTGCTAAAAAATGCTAATAATCATCTGAGCCTTAACTAAATTGGAATCTTTTTGCTGGAGAAGGGGGTTGCCTCGATGTTGATGGCTGCAGACTGACCAGGTGGTGGTTGCTGAAGGATGGGGTGTCTGTTGCTATTTTGAAAAATAAGACAACAATGAAGTTTCTTGCATTGATTGATTCTTCCTTTGACAACAGATTTCTCTCTAGCATGCGATACTGTTAGGCAGCATTTTACCTACAGTAGAACTTCTTTCAAAATTGGAGTCAATTCTCTCAAACTCTACTGCTGCTTTATCAACTAAGCTTATGCAATATTTTAAATCCTTTATTGTTATTTCAACAATGTTCACAGCATCTCAAGGAACCACTTTCTTTGCTCATCTATAAGAAGCAACTCCTCATCTGTTCAGGTTTGATCATGACATTGCAGCAACTCAATCATATCTTTGGACTCCATTTCTAAACTAGTTCTCTTGCTATTTACACTACATCTACAGTTACTTCTTCCACTTAAGTCTTAAACCCACCAAAGTCATCCATGAGGATTGGAATCAACATCTTCCAAACTCCTGTTAATGTTAATATTTTGACCTTCTTCCACAAATCATGAATGTTCTTAATGGCATCTAAAATAGTGAATCCTTTCCAGAAGATTTTCAATATACTTTGTCCAGATCTATCAGAGGAATCACTGTCCATGGCAGCTATAGCCTTATAAAATGTATTTCTTAAATAATACGACTTGAAAGTTGAAATCACTCCTTGATATGGGCTGCAGAATGGATATTAAGTTAGCAGGCATGAAAACAACATTCATCTCCTTGTACATCTCCGCCAGCGCTCTTAGGTGACCAAGAACATTGTCAAGGAGCTTTCCTATTTTGAAAGGAAACTTTTTTTTTTTTCCTGAGAGTAAGCCTCAACAGTTGGCTTAAAATATTCAGTAAACCATGATGTAAACAGATGTGCTGTCATCCAGGCCTTGTTGTTCCATCTACAGAGCACAGGCAGAGTAGATTTAGCATCAGTCTGAAGTGCCCTAGGATTTTCAGAATGGTAAATGAGCCCTGGCTACAACTTAAGGTCACCAGCTACAGTAGCCCCTAACAGGAGAGTCAGCCTGTCCTTTAAAGGCAGGCATTGCTTTACAGTCAACCTGTCCTGTTTTGAAGCCAGGCATTCACTTCTCTCTAGCTATGAAAAGTCCCAGATAATATCTCCTTCTAATAGAAGGCTGTTTTGTCTACATGGAAAATTTGTTGTTTGGTATACCGCCTTCATCAATGATCTTGACTAGGTATCCTAACAAGTTATCTTCTGGATAACTTGCTGCAGCTTCTACACCAACATTTACTGCTTTACCTTGCACTTTCATGTTAAGGACATGGCTTCTTTTCTTAAACCTTGTGAACCAACCTCTGCTAGCTTCAGACTTTTGTTCTGCAGCTTCCTCCCCTCTCTCAGCCTCTATAGAATTCAAGAGTTAGGGCCTTGCTCTGGATTAGGATTTGGTTTAAGGGAATGTTGCAGCTGGGTTGATTTTGTATCCAGACTACTCAAACTTTCTCCACATCAGCAACAAGGCTGTTTTGTTTTCATACCATTTGTGTGTTTGCTAGAGTAACACTTTTAATTCCCTTCAAAAAGTTTTCCTTTGCAATCAAAACTTGGCTAACTTTCGGCCTATCTCCACTTTTAAAATACCTTTCTCATTAAACGTAATCATTTCTAGCTTTTGATTTAAAGTGAGAGACATATGACTCTTCCTTTCACTTGAACATTTAGAGGCCATTCTAGGGCTATTCATGGGCCTAATTCCAATACTGTCATGTCTCAGGGAATAGTGACGGTGAGGGATATTGGAATGGTGGGTGGAGTGGTCAGAACACACACAATATTTATTAAGTTCACTGTCTAATATGGGCACGGTCCATGGTACCTCCAAACAATTGCACCAGTAACATCAAAGATCACCAAAACAGATATAATAAAAATGAAAAAGCTCAAAATATTGTGAGAATTGCCAAAAGGTAACACAGAGACATAACGTGAGTACATGCTATTAGAAAAATGGTGCCAACAGAATTGCCTGATAAAAAGTTGCCAAAACCTTACATTTGTAGAAAACACAATTATCTGTGAAGCATAATAAAGCAGAGTGAAATAAAACAAGGTATACCTGTATACATACATTAAAAATCAGTTGCATTGCAGCTATTTGTCTATTTTTAACCTTGTTAATAGTATTTCGCACTTTTTTGGCAAACGTTATTTGGACATTGCTAACCATTTACAGAAATGGTAACATTTAGGAACTTGCAAACATATTTGTTCCTTAGCAGAAGTAGAGCAAGGGAAGTGGGATTTGGGGTGGAGAGGAAGGAGGCTCAAAGAGATGGACACATCTGGATTTTCAAAGGCAGGTGGAGCTGACATCTCAGCTGCAGCCTCCACGTGCCGCCTGCTCCAATGAGAACTCTAGAAGGGTTGGGTCTTCCCATCACTCCCCAATAATCCAGTTACACACGGATTGGTGGAAAAGCCCCTTTCCTCTTCCCCAGAGAAAGGGAAATAAAATAAAAAACAAGAGAATGGAGCCACAAGCACATTCCCCATTTTCTGTCAATTAAAAACTCCTAAATTTCATTTCTGTTACATATTCAGAAATTGCCGAAATCACTCAATGCTGTCATCCTTCCTGGTATCTCCTCTAAGTCATCATAGGCTGGGCTCTGTTTGTTCCTTTCCCTCCCCTCTCCCAGCCTCTTCATTCCTTCCTTTCTTCTCCTCTCCCTCCCTCTCCTCCTCCCTTCATCTTGTGCATCCATGTGATATTCTCTCTATTTTTTGCTATGTTTTCAAACACCTTTTCTTTGCTGCATCTCTCGGGGTTCCCTCTGGGGGAAGACACGTGGCTGCACCTTCTAAACAGGCCTCCCTGGCTAAGCCCAGAGAGGAGGAGAAAGAAGAGGCCTTAGCAGAGGAATTTCTCCCCAGTTCCCAATTCATCTTCGGGATTCTGCTCTCCGTCAAGTGAAGCCCCATCACTTAGGAACAAACTGATCTCTCCGTCCTTGGCTCTCTCCTTTTGCACCTGCGAAAGCTTTCTCTGAGGTTTGGGATGTTTCTTGAGCATTTCTCACAATTTGCAATTTTAAAAAATCACTGCAGCGCATAATAGGAAAAGCAAAGGTGCTTAGGGCCCCCAGGGCACTTAATTAGGATTTATGATGTTAAAAACTTTATTCCACTAAATTCTATTTTCGAACATAATCATTTAAAAAGCCTTATTATTTCAGAGAATCTACGTAAGCTATTGAACACACAACAAGGTCTCTGCTTAGTGTGAGAAGAAAAGTATAGTTTTCACAAATCCCAGTTCTTCCAGAGATGTTTCTAAGATTAGTCTTTTAATGACAATAAT